AAAAATAACAAATCTAATATTTTTTTAAATTAATCTTACATTTCATGGAATATTTAAATATGGTACAAGTACTATTTTTAAGTAAACGCCATAATGAAAAACAAAAAAAACGTTAACAATACAATATAATAACGAAAAACTTTATGTAATAATAATAAATACGTTTGAAGTTTGATATATGTAGGACAAAATTTAATTTACTTTATTCATCTTTGTAACATATAAGAATTTTATATACCTAATTAAAACATTGCAATAAAAGCAAAGTATATTATAATAATATACAGTAACAACATTATAAATAATATAGTAATATAAGTATCAGAAATAGTAATAAGTTAAATTAATAATAATTCTAATTATTGGTGATAATAAACAATATAAGAATAAGAATAATAATAGTGATAATAATAATACTAACGCTAAAAATAACATAACAATATTAGCAACAACATTATTAATAGAAATATTTATAAAAGTGAGATTTGAAATAATGATATCAAAAATAATATTAATTTGAGAAAAAGTTAAGAAAGAGCAAGTATTAGCAGTAATAAATCAGCATTGAAATAAAGAAAGTGCTAGAGAAAAATTAAAAAAAGATTAAGTACTGTTAGTATTAAATCAGCAATAAAATGGAAATAGTATAAGAAAAAATTTTTAACAAACATCAAGTATTATTAGTTATATATCAGCATTGAAGCAAATAAAATTAAAATGGATAATAGATAGTTAGTAGTAGAGTAGCACAGAAATTAGGAAGAATACTTGTTTAATAAAATAAATAAAAGACTGTTTTTGATTTTTACAAATTGTAGGAAGAGATATTATTTATGAGGAAAGACTGTTTTATATGCATGTGAAATTAGTTAAAATATGTACATGGAGGAGGTAAGGTTTTACGAGGTTTTATGTTGCTGTTTCCAAATAAACAAACAGTTTGAGCATTGAATAAGGTCTTTTAATTTAATTATATTTGATATGTAGTAGAGGATATTTGGGTCAAAGTTAAAATGATAAAAATAGATTATTTTTAAGGCTTTATTTTGGAGGTGAGATTTGGGTCAAGCCCAATCTATAACATTTGAACTTTTCAAATGTTAGATATTGGGTTTGACATCATATTTGACAAGCATATCTAAAATAAAACTCAAAAACATCATGATATATTAGGGAAAGTTTTTAAGGTTAAGTCAATTTTGAGTTTTGGCCAAAATACCGTTGGACCTGCCTAATTTCAGGTCTAAGTCTTGAAGATGGGATGCAAAACTTAAACTAAAATAATTTTGATAGCAAGATACTTGATAAAGTTTATAGGATCTATTTTTTGACCACTTAATCTAACATTCATGTGTTTTTTTAATTTTTTTATGACTTGATTTAAAGATAAAAGTTTCAGTTTTTTTAAAATTAGGATGTAATATATTGAATAGAAGTCACTGAAAGAGATTTGCTAAGTCATGATTAATATTTTTGTGTACCTTTTTAAGTAGTTTGTTTATTAATTGATGTCATCATCAATGTGGTACTTCAACTTCAGACAGGTATTTAGATCATTAATAAAGAAAAATTTGTTTATATTAATTTATTTCCCTAGTGGGAAACAAATTAATAGAAACAAATTGTGTTCTATTATGAAGATTAGAAGAAAACCATTGGAGTGAGATGCCTCAGATACCGTAATATTTCAGTTGTATAATCAGATTGGAATGATCAACTGCATCAAAGGCTTTCTAGATATCATTAAAAGCACCACATGCAAAAACTTTATTGTCTAAAGCTGTTTTAATTTTTTCAGTTATATCAAATTGGATAGTAGCAAAGTATTTGTTGAAAATTTAGCAGTTGTGGTTGGATCAGAGATGACTTTATCATGTATTTTGTGGTTAAAAGAGGTATTGTATGTAGTAGGCCTAATGCTGATAATTTCTTTTATTCTTTTTTCAGTTATTTTAATGCTGTTTAAGTTTTTGTTAAAAAAGGAAATAAAATAATTTTTTTTCGATTTTTTAAGTAAGTTGCGTTTTTTATTTTTATATAACTTTTTTTTTTAAGAATATTTTTTGACTTAACAAACGTTTTATAGAAGAAATTTTTGGTTGAGATTTAAGAATACAAGCGGAAAAATACTATCCAAGGTTTGGATTTAAGTTTAGTTTGTTTTTTTGTTAAAACTTTTTAGGGAGCATGTTTGTCTAGAACATTTTCATATGAATTTAAAAAACTTATTATTGGTTTATTAATATCCTCGTCTTTTATTTGTACCTTTTTTTTGTACCTTTTTTTTAAGTATTTGAAGCATCTTCTAGAGACTTTTTTTATTCTAGTCTTACGTGTTTGAAGAATGATAGTTAGGAGAAACTAGCAAGAGCATATTGTTTAGAGATAATTAGAAACAATAGCAGATTCTCTATAATTAAATAAGTCAATGATAAAATCACCGATTGAAATACTGTTTTTTTTTTTTCATAACCTAAATTTTCAAGTAAAAAAGTTAAATGGTTTGTGATAAACTCTTTTGGATTTAATTTTTTGGATTTAAAGTTGGATGGCATTATATGCAGCCAATTAAAAGATTAGTTTTATGAGGGTTGAAAGCTTTAACATAATATGATTTAAGAAATTTTAATGCATAGATTGTAAGATTTTCACACAAGGTTTGTAAGATGCATAGATTGGATAGATTGTTAGATCTTCACAAAAGCTGAGATACAGAAGAGCTTCACCTTTTTTTGACTCAGTAAGGCAATATTCAGTGCTAAATCCATTTATGGTAATATCAGTTATATTTGAGTTTTTTATATATAAGTTTAATTCAGTGATTCCTATCACTATATTGGAAGTGTTAAGAGTACCATTAAGAATACTGAGATACTTTCAATATATTGTGGTAAGCAAGCAATATTGAGATAAAGATATATATCAGTACCATGATTTGAATTATTGAACTCAGTAACTAAATGATATTTTTTTGGAAACACAGTCAGACCAATACCATTATAAAGAGTCATTAGAAAAAATGTTATATGTATGCTTATTGATTAGATTGCCTTTTGCGTGAATCGAAAAAGAGCAGCAGTCACATTAGTTGGCTCTATGGTTTTTAGATACATTTTTCGGCACATATTGCAGGATTGTTTTAATACCATATTTTAGGTTAAGATTTTAAGGTTACTTGCTGTATTAGTTTTATAAATTAATAATTATGATTTACATATAAGTAAGTTAGAAGTTTTTAAGCATATAAAGATAATGCAAACCAAAAGAATAAAGCAACTAATTAAAATCATAAAGCTAAATTAAAATGATAAAGCATAGGATTTAATGTATTAGGTTTGTACTTGTAGGTCAATTTATTTGTGCAATGTCATTAATGTGTTTTTTATGTATGCATACTATCCTTTTATATTAACATTTTAAAGAAAGTTAAAAAGAGAAACTTTATATTATAGTCATAACTGAAACATATAAGATAAAATAACTAACACTTTTTTTTTTAAGTATATAAGGGTAATTACCCGACAAGAAAGGTATATGTGGCCTACAGCCGGTCATAGTGCTTTCGTGTGGATTAAAAGTGCAAAAATATATTACAGTTGATGAATGACGTACTTGATGAAGACAAGTAAGACCAACTTGTGGAACACATAATGCGGTTCACATAACTACTTCACTTAATGTTGCATAATCCTTAAATAAATACGTGATAAACTTGATGTGGCTATCATATGGGCCGTATATATAAAACTCACGATCTTGCCTCATTTTGAATTTTAAATTTTACCCAATTGTAATAATTCTATCGCAATGCATTGTAAACTCTAGAATATTACATAATATCATTTGGCTTACCGTTTTGATAACTTTCAATTCATAACTGTTGTAAGTATTTTTCAGCGATAAAAATAAGTATATATAAAAGAAAAAATGTAAATATATAAAAAAAAAAAAAAAAAACCTAGGTGTGTTAGGACTTTTACTTATTGTAATATACAATTTGTTATCATTACTAAACTACGTTTTTTTATGTGATTTTATTTGTGATTTAGATTATATAACGGCATATTGTTGCTAGAATACTATTTGAAACTAGATTACCTATATACAGGGCTGTACCAACGGGGGGGGGGGATATATGGGGTGGGCCCCACCTCCCCCTTCAGATTTACAAAATTGTGTCGGTTTTTGTCGGAAAATTGGAAGATTTAGGGCTGTCGGTTAGAACTGAAATTTGGCTTTTAAAAAAAAAAAAAAGCCAAGCTTTTTTTTTTTTTTAAAAGCCAAATTTCAGTTCTAACCAAAAAATTAAAAAAGGAAAGCTTTTTTCCTTTTTTAATCCCCCCCCCCCAAGTCTTTGTCGTTCGGTACGGCCCTGCTTATATTTAAGTATACAATATATATTATAAAAATCGGTAAATGTTTATAAATTTGTGAAAAAAAAAAATAGATTAAAAAATTGTTTTAGCGATTTTGTAATGAATATATTAAAGAAATGTTGTTAAACTTAAACTTTCCATAAAATTTGTAAATCAGAGTTATTCTTAAGAGTCATTTTTTGTAAAAATCAGGCAGTCAATGGAAGTGACCTCGTCCGAATTGCTTGAATTTTTTATATATTGATCAGAATATAGAGAAAACCTGTTAGGGAAAAAAATTTTCAAAAATGTTTCGTTCACTCGGAATCTGGGCTTAAATTTTTAAGATTTTTTTAAAAATTTTTAGAAATTTAGTTTTTGCCACCTTTGAACCCATTTTTTTGGCAAGGCAAAAAGTTGCACGTAGCTTTTGTAGTTAATATCAGACGTAACCCAAAAGCTCTCTCCAAAAAATATAAAAAAGTTGCGTGACACTGTGCGGTTGGCTACTTATCATAGTTCAAAAGTACAAAATCAATCAGTTTTGTCAATTTTTAATCGGAGTTAATTCTAGCGGCGAAGTGCTGCACACAATTTTTCTTTTAGGATTTGAAATTATTAAAGGTATTGAGTCTAAAAATGCAAAGAAAGTTATGTGATACCTAAGGCCTATTAATATATTAAGGCTTGAAATTGGAAAAAAATGTTATAGTATACTTACAAAATGAGCTATTACGCCAGAGGCGCTAAGTTTTGTAAAAATTTAATCATGTTAAATGGTCAATATAAGATGACCATTTAACATGATGAAAAAATAAAGGTACAAATTGTTAAAAATGATTAAGTACGAAGAGATATTTTTTTGGACACGCAGATGAGGTTTTCGCTCACAATAAAATTTCTATCATCCAAAATTAGCAATTAGCATTACACAAATCCTTGCACGTAATGTTATAAAAAAATTTAAGCGTTTCTGACTATGATATAGAAATCATAATAATTGAAATAATAATAATAAAAAACAATACATGATCAGAAGTGAATTATTTAAATTTACGTCATAACCAAATAACTTGCGGTGATCGAATAGAAGAAGAATCGCTGATATCACGATTGTGGAGAAACAAGTTAGTGGGCGGTTGTTTACTTTACCATAAAAATGTCTTATCTTTATTTTAACGATCTTTAAAATTTGCATAAATAGAGTAGATATTTTATCATTGCTATTGAGAAATAGGTACTGCATACATAAAACTTGTTTTTAGTTGAGTATGGAACAAAACAATTATTTTTATGAAAACTGTTGTTGCTTTTCAAAAGGAAATTGTGGATCATTCAAAAAACATAAAGTTATAAACAAAATGTTCTACATTCATCAGCTGGGAGATGTTAAGAAACACCTCATCAACTTAAAAGTAATTATGTATTTTAAATTTACGCAGACTGTAAAATAATTTTTATAATTACATACTTTATAACTTCTCTGCAATATGATTTTGAGACAAAGTTCTTTAAGCAAAAAAAAATAGCTCTTTTAATTAATTCCTCACTCTTCTAATAAATAATCACTAAATTAATCACACTCTTGCAATATTGTATTTTAATAATAACAACAATGTATTTCAAACTTGTAAACATTTTTCGTGAAGAGTCAGATTATAAACAATGCTTTAAATGACACACTTAATAATTGTTTAAAAAATTGTTTTTAGGTCATGCGATTAAACGATAATAATATTTGGGAAGAAAATGGACTTATTGCAAATAGACTTAAAAGAAATCTTGAAAAGGATGAACAAACATGTGCTTTTCACCGGTACACGTTTGGTATTGCATGGAGTCCTCCAAAAACATGCTTTCATCCTCACCATCTAAATATAAAAGGAAAAAAATCTCCCGCTTTAAGGGCGTCACTAATACATGTCGTCATATCAATGTCAAAGCGATACAATGAAGTATTTTCAGTTGGTGCAATGCTGTGTTTTACCCATTTAAAACAAGAAACTGCTTTATCTAGAGTCAACGAAAACACCAATTTATGTAAAGAAACACAAACACAACAAAAACAAACATATATGACACCTGCTATTCCAGATGAAGAATTTGATCCCGGTGAAATTAATGTTTCACAGGAGATTTTGGACGAATCTCTTAGAAGCCGTGAGAGTGTAATTGAGGTTCTTAATGCAAGTCTAATAAAATTTAGATTAAAAAGGAAGTTCGAATATCTGGAAGATACTACTAAAGATAAGTTAAAACGCAAGTATGTTCGCTTAGAAAATTTATTAAAGAACAAATTTGCGGAAGCTGTTGCTCCTAGACAAGAGGAAACACTTATAGATTTTCTTAACAGTAAAAATGTTGATGAAATAAATAGCCCTCTCCCAATTGAAATTATTCGTGCTCAGAAAGTATATAAGCAAAGTGATTCCATGGGAAAGTTAGTTATCCTCTCATCATTAGATCATACCAAGTATACCAAAAAGTTTATAATGAACACATTTGAGTGTACCAAACATCGTATAGAAACAGCAAGAAAATGGCATGCATCTCATAAAGGGTTGGCATTTCCAGAGAAGAAAGTATTCGTCCGATCTAGTCTTGATCAAACGAAGTGTGAACATTTCTTAGACTTTATATTTACAAGCGGTGTTTTGCATGATGTTGCTTATGGAATAACCAAATTAAAATACGACAGCGGTGAAGAACAAAAGATAGTGCATGCAATACTGATATATATAGCCACGCTATCATGTTCTATCGAAAAAGTTGTAGTGAAAACAATTATATACCATTATCTGATTCAAGTTTGTGGAAAGTATTGCATGCAATAAAACCTTCAAGTCGAAAAAGCTTAGCTGGATTAGATAATGTTACTGCTTCAGGCATGAATGGTTTTCAAACATTACACCAATTGGCACAAAGATTTAGTTCTAAATCTCTCGAAGCTGCCCTTGAAAAAGGAAAAAGGTATTTGAAAACAAATTATCAAACCAATTGTAGTGTCAATGACTCAAACATTTCTTCTCATAGCTCAAAACATGCCTTTTCAGATCCATCTGAAAAAAATCTTCAATCCAACACAGAGATATCAGAAGTGGTATGTGCCGATTGCTATGATTTGTGCAAAGCTATTGAGGTGATCAAAGAACTAACAATTCAAAATTCTGACGATGCTGATTCTATTTATGATTTGGAAATTGCTGTAAAGGATGTATTCAACTACATAAAACACCTGATGAGAGATTCTCAACAGAAAAAGGCAAAAATCGAAGCTTTTAAGCAGTTAAACGATGAAACTGCTTTCTGGCTTAAAGATTTTTGTCAAAAAATTCTTCCGGTTTGATACAGAGAGGGCCAAAGAGAGTATTTTGGCAAGAAAGGTATGAGTTTACATGTGGATATATTCTTCATAAAAATAGCAGGAAAGTTATTTAAACGTGTTTACTTTACTTCAATGTATAGGTGTGATACATGTGGATATATTCTTCATAAAAATTGCAGCAAAGTTATTTAAACGTATTTACTTTACTTCAATGTATAGGTGTGATCAGGGAATAGGTGATGTTGTTTCGTTAGCCACTGCAGTTTTAGACCAATTCAGAATTGATCAACCGCATATCAAGAAAATGTTTACCAAATCTGATAATGCCGGCTGCTATCAGGGAAATCTTTCAGCTGAAGCAATCTACAATGAATGCAAAGAGAGAGATATAAAGTTGCTAAGATATGATTATAATGAACCTTGTTGGGAGAGTGCAGTTGTAAAGACAATTTTAAGGAGTTACGTTGACTCTGGTAATAATCTTTTGACTGCTGAAGATCTACATAAGGCTATGCATTATAGTTTTGGCGCTAAAGATGCAAAAGTAGCAGTTGCTCAAATTAGCAATGATAAAACTGTAGTTACTGGACCAAAGATTAAGAACATTAGCAACTATCACTCATTTGAGTTTGGTGAGAAAAGTATGAAGATGTGGCGTTATTTCAATATCGGTGAGGGAATTGAACAAGAGTATGGAAGTCTTAAAATTCAACCCTCGATTAAGTTGTTGTTGCCATATAGCAAAACAGATAATTCAATTTAGCGTAACAAGTCACTTAAGGAAAAACAGAAAAGAAGTGACAGGCAATTATATTCATTAAGATTTTGCACTGAAATGAATTGTACTTTATCATTTGAAAGCGATGCTGAGTTAGAAGAACACATGCTATCCGGTCTTCATACAGTTCTGAAATCATTAACATCATTGGATAAAGTTTGCAACTCGTTTGTTCATAAGATGAAAATTACTTCACAACTAAATATGCACAATTTCTTCATCCTCTAACAGTGCTTCCGTAAAAGACAAACCACATTGCATGAACATTTTTCTATTGCAAGGTTGGGCATTACCAGTTCGAAGTTTTTTTAGATTTTCAAATCAGCAGAAAGAACTGTTGTATAAATACTTTATTCGTGGAGAAGAATCAGGTAATAAAATGAGCCCTGAGCAGGTTCACATGCAGCTGAGGAGAGAACTTCCGCCTGATCAATATGTAACTAGCCAACAGATAAGATCTTTATTTTCAAGGTAGGCATTGTTGCTATCAAAACTTTTGCAAATTAGATTATGTTTCTGACTGTTAAATAGTTCTTTTACAAATATGAAATTAAAATTTAGGTGAAAGTTATAATTTTGTGTGTTTGTTTACATATGTTTAAAAATATGTACAATTGATATTGTTATAGATTTAGTAACCTGAAAAGAAAAGGTGAGCTGGTAGAACAACAGAAAATAATGAAAATAGTCAGGTTAACGATAACAATGAAGTTTATGGCAAAAACGATGACTTTAATCTGACAGGAGACAATGAAGATGATAATAAATTTGAGAAAGACATCGCCAATCTTGCAAATTAAATTTGTCTTGTATGGAAAGTGAATGATTGGGTTGCTGTTGCATATGAAAAACAATGGAATATTGGATATATTGTGGATGTAATATTATTTAAAGTATATATTAGCTTCAAGCTTTTATTTTGTTTTACAAAACAGTGCTCTAAAATAAAAGGAATAACGGGTCACAACTAAAATTTTGCCCAACTTTTAAAACAAGATATCTCAGTCATTTTACAATTTTTTTTAAAACGGTTTTTTGCATTTTATAAACAACAATTTTAAGTGTTAGAAAAAATGTCTTTTAAAGTTTTTCGATTCCATTCCTTCTGACAAAATTGAGTCTTTTGTGTACCGAGCTGAAGGTGCGGTGTATAAGGTCTTTGTCCAAATTACGAAGGCAAAGACTGACTCTAGCTTTGAGTTGAGAAATAGTTTTAGCCTGCCAGTCCTTCTCATACACTTTCTCCTTCAAAAATCCCCAAAAATCCTCAATTGGCCTAACTTTCGGGACGTTTGCTGGGTTGTATTGTTTTTGTACAAAATTGACTTTTTTGTCTCTGAGGTCGGCGTGGACTGAGTTTGCATAGTGGGAGCTAGCTAAATCGGGCCAGAATACGTATTTACCATCCCTATAGTATTTGTTAATAAAAGGAATCAACCTCTTTCGTATACACTCGTCACGGTAAATATATTGATTGATTGCCAGGCCACACTTGAAAAATTTGACACTACTCATTCCTCGAGGTGAAACTGCCACCCAAACAAGTAGTTTTGACTCGTATTTTGCCTTCATTTTGTTCTTCACATCAGTAGGAGTCTTTTGAATATCATCTGAGTAAAATTGGTCATTCCCAGCCAAAGTTGTGTTGGAAAGAGTGAAGTACGATTCATCATCCAAAATAAAATCGACATCACGAAATTTGAGGAAAAGTCGTCCACACTTTGGTCTTGCTAACATGACTTGTAAGGCTGTCATCTTTGGTTTGACGGTGCGTTTTAGACATCTGATATTTGTTCTTTGCAATAGCATCTTTGAAACGTATTACTGAGTCGTTTTTAGCTTGCTAGCTACTCTTTTCTGTGAGCAGCCCTTCCGATGATTAAAGAAATTTTTCATCTTACGTATGTTGTTTGCAGTCGCTATAGTAGTCGGAGGACCGCTTCCTTTTTTCCTAGTTTGTACTTTATTTTGTTCCAGCATGCTAAGCCAATGATTTAAAGTCCTTTTTGGAGCTCCCATGCTGATAGATTTATCAAAAATATGTTTTCGCCCCAGTCCATGGTTTTTTTGATAGTATTTATACAAAATGGATTTTAGATCTTCATACATTATAGCGTGATATTTTTTGAACTACAAATCATACGAACTATTTAAAAATATATTTGAATAGAAAATGCTTTTGAGTATATTTTGTTAAAATTTTAAAAATATACACAAAGCAGATCTTTATTGACATTATCCCAAAGTTTGGGCAAAATTTTAGTTGTGACCCGTTATAAATAAAATGTAAAAATAATTTCAGAATGACATTATATAAGACTTAACAAGTTTTATTGAATGTAAGCAAAATTAAACAAATCATAAACTCTTTATTACATTATTTTAAATATTGCGCTAATACTTTTAGGTATCTATAACTGGGATCAAAGTTAATTGTATGATTAACGGGCAAGAGAAGAATACTTTTCGCTGGCCAGTTACTACCGAGGAGATAAATAACCAAACTGATAAAATTATCTGTTTAGTAAATGCTCCTTTTCTAATCAGTGGTTGTGGCGATTATTCATTATCCGAAGAAGACTATAATACAGTCATATCATTATTCTTAGAGAAACTTACTGAAGCAGAGTAGAAATTATGTGTGATGTGGTGGATAATGTGTGTAAATGACTCTATTAATAAATGAAAAACTAATTTTTAAATGGAAAAACATTTAAATGTTTGATTTATGTTTTATTTAATTAGCAATATAGTTATCTTGTTGTTAGATTTTTGTTCAGCTTTTAATTCATATTATATCATGCGTGAGACAAAATCAAACGAATTTTTTTATTATTATGTTAGGACCTTTTTGTATTGACAGTTGGATATGTTTACATTTTTACAAAACTAAGCGCCTCTGCCGTAATGCTTCATTTTGTAAGTATACTATAACATTTTTTTCCAATTTCAAGCCTTAATATATTAATAGGCCTTAGGTATCACATAACTTTCTTTGCATTTTTAGACTCAATACCTTTGATAATTTCAAATCCTAAAAGAAAAATTGTGTGCAGCACTTCGCCGCTAGAATTAACTCCGATTAAAAATTGACAAAACTGATTGATTTTGTACTTTTGAACTATGATAAGTAGCCAACCGCACAGTGTCACGCAACTTTTTTATATTTTTTGGAGAGAGCTTTTGGGTTACGTCTGATATTAACTACAAAAGCTACGTGCAACTTTTTGCCTTGCCAAAAAAATGGGTTCAAAGGTGGCAAAAACTAAATTTCTGAAAATTTTTAAAAAAATTTTACAAAATTTAAGCCCAGATTCCGAGTGAACGAAACATTTTTGAAAATATTTTTCCCTAACAGGTTTTCTCTATATTCTGATCAATATATAAAAAATTCAAGCAATTTGGACGAGGTCACTTCCACAGTTCAGGAATTTGCCTGATTCTTAGAAAAAACGGCTCTTAACAGATACAAATTTATAGTTATACCGAAGACATATTAAAAGATGGACGTTTAACGTATTGTTTAAAAGCCAAGATATCCGCGCTATTTATTGTTACAAATAACAATAGCAAAACAATAGAGAACTATTTTTAACTTGATTTTGAATATTTTTATAGAATATTTTTACTTGATTTTGCGTCAAAATAATGATAGTCTCACCTAGCCTAAGAAATATTTAAACATTCCATAATATCTAAAAACTCTAAAATGTTTTTAAATAAATAAAACCTTTACATTAATGCTCTACAAACTCAAGCAAAATCTTTACTTTAAAAAAATTTCCTAAAAAAAAATTTACCCAATCTTTAAAAAAAAGCTAATCACAGAAAAATATTAAAACAAGTTTGTAAGCGAGACAAAATTTTCCAACAAAAATGAGAAATTTATATACTTAAAATAATAGTGAAAAATAAGTTTAGGGAATAGAGACCACAAGTAATCTATAGTTCAATCTATATATGATTTACAGTTTTTACCTAAAACATCTAGGAAATTCGTTTCACTTTGCAGTATTCATTCTTGCAAACTAAATATCACTTTTTTTACAAAAATATGAATTTTGACGTTTTATTAATAATAAGTTTTATTAATAATAAGTTCTTATGAAAATATGCTCACGTATTAAATTTGACATTTTAAAACAGATGAGCTATTTCTGATCAACTAAAATGCATTAATTAAAAAAAAAAAAAGTTAGAGTTTTGTAGGTAATTGTATTTTGTAAAAAAAGTAGTTAGAAAAGCAAAATTATTGGAAAAAACGTTAACTTTTAAACAGTTAACTTTTATAAATTATTCAGAAAAATGACGCTAAAAATTTTAGCTCGCTTAGTTTTTGTTTACTCGCGGCGCCTCAAATCTATAAACATCCATCTATTAATACGTCATTGGTTATACTTAAACAACGTCATATTTTACACGATTATTCATTCTTATATGCGCGTCTATACATTTTTATATGCGCCTTTATTCATTCTTATATGCGCGTTTATTCATTTTTATATAGCAGTACCAATCGTAAAACAAGGAAAAATGTTACAAAAGGGCACATTAAAATGCTTAAGCAATTAATTAAAAGAAATAAATCTACAATATAGATTTCCACATCTCCTAATTTATCGAAGCGCACACTTCAAAATCTTGTCGTTAAGTTAAACAGAGGATAATTCGACGACATGACTGCATTCAAGTTGTTTTCTGATAAAAAACGAGGTGAATGACCTATAAACGCTTAAATAGAAAATATTATCAATTATGCGTACAAGAAAACAATCTTTGCACGCAAGAAGCAATAAATGAAAATCTTTCTGCAGCAAGCTTCAACAAGTCTCAGCCTACAATTTCAAGAAAACTCAAACGCTCGGATTTATCAAAAAAACGTGTTGTGCATGTGCCAGAAGAACGAAATTCAACACGAATTATTAATGCACGCTATGCATTTGCAAACGAAATTAACGGAATTTCAAATGAAAAACTTATTTATTTGGACAAAACTGAATTTAATGTGTACACTAATAGCACATATGATTATTCGCTAAGAGGTACGCCAGCAACTTTACAGTCACCTGCAAATCGTGGCAATAATCTTAGTTTAATTTGTGCTGTTTCAACAATTGGAGTGCTTGCTTATGAAACAAAAACTAGAGGCTGGAATGCAGATTCATTTTGCACTTTCATAACTACAATGGTTGCACTAGCGATTAGGAATGCAAATGTTTAAGCGCCGGTGCTTGTTATGGAAATTGTAAATTCCACTCGAGTCTTTCTGTTCGTCAAACACTAGCCTCTCATGGTATAGCTACTAAGTATCTGCCAGCATACACGCTACAGCTTAAACCAATAAAAGAGTTTTTCTTCTTCTTTAAAACATACTTACAAACAGGGAAAATGGCATTGAAATAAGGATGAGGTAATCAGGAATCTTAAAAATATTATGGATACTGCAGAGTTTAATATAGTTCAATTTTACAACCATATGCGTATTTACATAAATCCAGCGCTGGCTCGGAAACCATTTCTTAAATAAATAACAATGAAAACAACCTAATTTATATTTTAAATATATCTATATAAAAATTTAAAAGCGTATTTTTTGTTTATATTAAATTATATTAGAGATTTTATGGGTGGTTGACGCATATATAAAAGCGCATATAAGAATGACTAAACACGCATATAAGAATGAATAAATTTGCATATAAAAATGAATAAATACGCATATTAGAATGAATAAAGGTGCATATAAAAATGAATAGGCCCATATATAAGAATTAATAACCCTGTAATAGCGCAAATTTCCGCAACCGCAAACAAACTGTATAGTAAAGCGTCACTAAAAGTAAGTATATGTAAACAAACAAACACACTTTTTAATTAAGGCGTATTATATTTTCTGCATTAATTTAAATTTTTTGAGCTAAAAAAAGTAGGATTTAAGAAAAAACCTACCTGGAAAAAATCCCCCGAAATAATCCCCGAAAAAAAAACTACCCCAGAAAAATATACCCCCCAAAAAAAATGCTTAGTTTCAAATTAAAAAAGTATATATCAGGCTTTTGTTTATTAAGTATTTATTTAAAGTCAAACAAGTTGTAACATTAACAAGATAAAATCGGGAACTGCAACTTTCATATTTTGCATATTATAGTTCTATGGTTTAATTAAGGTACATAAAGTTAGATTTTTGATGATTAACTACCGTATTTCATTCTCACAAGTTTAATTAAGTTAATTTTAAATCCCGTTCTTAAATAAATTGAATGATCTTTAAAAAGTTTAAAACTGTTAGTATGTTTTTAAAATTTTATAAACCCACAAGCGAAAGTGTTTTTTAAAAACATCAAGCTATAATTTTAGATCAAATTATTTATATGTTATATTACTAATAAGAGTTAATATATTGCAAAATGGTAAATTAGTAAATTAGTATATTTAGTATATTTGTTTTTTTTATTCCTCTTATGATAATTTTGGTTTTCGGAAAACAATTAGTTATTAACTTTTTTTAATTCTTTATTGACACTCCAGGTTCTCTGAGTGTCGCATTTTAAAATACTAAATTACGAAAATTTTTCTGAGCGTCCATTTTAAAATACCAAGTTAAGAATAATTCTGAAGTTTCTATTTGAGTCGTATTCTAACGCATTTAAATTTAAATCCCAAACAAAGTAATCGCCTTTACCGCAAATATCTTTATTTGTAAAAAAACTTTTTATGTGTTAATCAAATATTTTCATGCCCTATTGCATTTTTAGTGATTTTAATAAAGATTTTATCTGTCAATGACTCACAATCATTGCTTGCTGTACGGTAATCTCTTCGCGATTTATAAATAAACAAGTTGTTGGTGTAAATGCATACTCCTCCACTTGCTTTTTAAGACTTTCTAAGTTGATGAAATACTTTGTATTTTTTTAGCTGAAAATTTAGATCTATATCTAATTGAGTATTTAAAGTATTTAATTAGCATCTATATCTATTTGAGGATTTTAAGTATTCAAGTTGTATTATAATGCACTCACGTTTTTAATTTCTTCGCTGTTATTATAAAAATTAATATATGGATCTAGATGACTTTCTAGAAAAAAAATTTTATATGTCGAAATAATTATTGCATAATTATTTTGAAATGTAAAATAAATATTCCATTTAAAAGAAAAATGCACAGCCACTTGATAAGCTCGATTACAAAATTCATAAGTTTGGCCCATTAACGTTTGCGAATAACCGAGGAAACAGCTTTTTCCGGTCAAAAGTACAAGTCCTAGTTTAGTTTACGGTACATGAGACGGGTATCTTTAACAATTATTGTCATAATCCTCATACACGGTAAGAAATAATATTTGAAACATTTCTTTAACAAAAAAAAGATGTTAGGTAATGTTTATAATGTTTTGCTTTATTGAAACAACAATTCATAACAGTTTTAATATCAAAATAAGATTAACATAACATTAATTTTTAAGAGCCAAAAATTATAATTTTTCGTAGATCGATAAAATCCATTGCAAGTATAATGTTTTACGGTAGAAGAGTTGACATGGACCTTTTTCTCAAATGGCACATCAAGTTTTTTTTAAATAAAAATAGTACTCCGTCAGGGTGGATTGACTAAAGGTACAATGTGCTCAAAGGTGCATCAGGTTCCCAACATGCATAATCTTGACACATACGCGACAATTTGTCCTGGTGCTTTAATGTTTTTAGAACTTTTAATTTTTTTAAAAGTCTTTTCGTTTTATATAGTATATAATATTTTTCAGGAACTTTACTAACTAACAATATATTTAATGTTCTCAATATAAATAGAATATTTAGAATATTTTAAATAATATATAAATGGAATATTTAAATGCAGAATATATACAAAGAATAAAAATATAATATAATAAGTAGAATATGTTTAATATTTTTTTAGTCATGTTTGAATTAAAATATCATATGCTACCTTATATTTTTGAAGACCTTTTCTTTATTATAGATTATAAATATTAAACAAAGCATTCATTGCTTAATGATCAGGTACCAAAAACTTTGTTAAGAGACTCTGAGTTCTAAATAATTAACCGAGGGCCGCATTTGTGGAACTCATTCTTTTTCCCAAATAATTATAAAACTACAACTTCAATCCAAACTTTTAAAAGTATTTAAAAAAGTTAGTTGGTTAAGGCGTACCTCAAATACTATTTTATTTTTAATTTTTATTTTATTCTTTTTTATTTTTTTTTTTTTTTTACTTTTCCTTTTGTTAAAAATCTTTACATCATTACTTATCTTTATATTTATATTGTGTTCGGAAAGCTGGGTGATAAGACTTTGGCCTTCTGCCTGCTCCTGTCATATCTTAACTCAAAAAGAATATATTGTAAATAATTTAATATTAATATGACGAAAATGTAAAAAAAAAACTAACTTCTTGGCAATGCTGGTATGTTGATTAATGAAAATTTTAAAGCTATATATAAAAAAATAAGAGTTGATAAAAATGGTAAAAATGCCATAGATCAAAATTAAGGAGATGTTGCCTTTCCAGCTAACACAAAACTTTCAAAATAAAATGTCAGATAACTTAGACCGTTCTTGAACATTCGCAACGTTCGTTGAATGTTTTGCATTAGCAGGGACAATGCATTTTGTAAAGTAATGCAAGTGAAAATAAAACTGTAAAACTTGTGTGCCTTAGGCATTATAAAAGGGTAAAACAAATTTTGTTGTTTAAAATAGAGAAAATTTTTTGAGTTTGATCGTTTGTTTTGTTACTCAAAAGAACATTTAAAATATCAAATTTCATCCTCGTATGTGAATATAAAAACAATGTTCAATAAAGTATTACAAGTAAATCATCGCCAAAATCTAAAAAAATTTCATTTGCGGGTATAGTTTTTTATGAAACCGATAAATATACTACTATTAGGATTTTACTATTAGAATGTTTATGTCGCATTGATGCGTGTATAAAATATTATAAAACATTGATGTTTTAATTTTATTGTTTTAAAGCTGCGTTTGTACGTTTCTTGGACGTCTTAAGCACGTCCTACGGGTTTGGGACGTCTATAAAACGTCGAAATGACGTGTTACAAACGTCTTTGCCTATAAGGTTAGTATTAAATAAATATTTTTTTGCATGTTAATTGTAAGTAATATAAAATAACAAAATAAATTAATAAAACAACTTAAATCTTTTAAAATACAAAGAAAAAGTAAAAATCATGTTTTTATTTATAAATTGAAAGCCTTCTTAAATCTCTTATTTTTAAGGTTATGGACTGCAATGTTATAATGAACCTCTTCATAATGGCACACAAGATGTACAAGTATCTATAGAGACATGTACAGACAATCAAAACCAATGTGCAACGATATTTTTGATTAGTAATGGAAGTTCATCCGTGGGACGAAAGTGTACATCAGGATATTTCATCTCGTGTTCTATTCAATGCGCAATTTTCTACACATCTTATTCTCCATGTCAGGTAATACTTAACTTTATATATATATATATATATATATATATATATATATATATATATATATATATATATATATATATATATATATATATATATATATATATATATATATATATATATATATATATATATATATATATATATATATATACATATATATATATATATATATATATATATATATATATATATATATATATATATATATATATATATATATATATATATATATATATATATATATATATATATATACGTATATATATATATATAAATATATATATATATATATATATATATATATATATATATATATATATATATATATATATATATATATATATATATATATATATATATATAAATATATATATATATATATATATACATATATATATATATATATATATATATATATATATATATATACATATATATATATATATATATATATATATATATATATATATATATATATATATATATATATAAATATATATATATATATATATATATATATATACGCTACTAGTGCTTGATTTACTGGTACTTTTTCTTTTTTCCCCGTTAATTGCAATTTTTATTTCTCTATTTTTACTAAATTTTTCGTACATGTTCTTTTTTTTTATATTTTTATTTTATATCAATTTTTATTTATTCATTTTTAAATTTATTATTTTCGCAAAAAAAATTATTTTTTTATAAATATTTTTATCTATTAAATTATATATTTATATATATATATATATTTACTAAAACAATTATTAAACGATTATAACGATAAAAAAACCCTAAACCCTAACCCTAACACTAACCCTATGCCTGACCTTACTGCCTGGCCTAACCAAACCCTCAATCGATGTAGCAGCACTCCCTTGCGAGTCAGGCTATTTGTCAGTCGATGTATGTACTTTTCGCTTTGCATAAAAACTTTTTACGGGGACATTTTTTTACAAAAAAAAACGCCACTTACGAGGACAAAAAATTATCGAGTACTCTAAAATGTCCCCGATACTGCTAATGTCCTCGTAAGTATTCATTTTAATGTAAAATCTGTTCTCAAACATGCTACTATATGGATATATATATAAATATATATATATATATATATAAATATATATATATATATATTTATATATATATATATATATATATATATATATATATATATATATATATATATATATATATATATATATATATATATATATATGTTCATATATAAATATATATATATATATATTTATATATTAGAGAAATTAAACTTCTACTAATTTATATATATAAATTAGTAGAAAATCACTTAAGAAAATTTTTTTCATTTAACACTGTGTTTTATCAATAAAGTCTTATCACAAATGAAAAATCAAATTAATGAAACTTCAATTTATACCAAAAAATATGGAAGTCGCAAATATCTTAAATACTGGAAATTTGACAAATTTGTTGAATTTGCTGACACTGTTATAAAAATAATTCTTTAGAAATGATTACTTATGTTTTTTAATTAAAATATTTTTTAAAAGGGGGGATTTAGAATAACTATTATTTGAACTCACTGATTTTTGTAGTTTTTTAGGAGAAACTTATTTTTGTGCCTGCATTTAGAAATTAATTCCGATTTTTTTGTTTAACAAACATTCTTGGTTTGCATGTATATTTATTTCGAAATTTTCTTGTAGACATAGTATGCATTTTTTGGAAAATGTTGTTGTATGCAGGCTCTGTTTTGAGGATGGACCAATTCAGTATAAAATCATCAATATTTTTACTTTTTAGTTCCCATATAAATTTTGACAGCATGGTGTCTTTTGAATAGTTTTTTCTTTTAAAAGATTACTTATGATTGGCAAAACGGTTTTTCCATTGACCCTCTGTTATGCCAATATATATTTGAATATATATATATATATATATATATATATATATATATATATATATATATATATATATATATATATATATATATATATATATATATATATATATATATATATATATATATATATATATATATATATATATATATTTATACATATATATATATATATATATATATATATATATATATATATATATATATATATATATATATATATATATATATATATATATATATATATATATATATATATGTATATATATATGTATATACATTTATATATATATATATATATATATATATATATATATATATATACATATATATATATATATATATATATATATATAATATATATATATATATATATATATATATATATATATATATATATATATATATATATATATATATATATATATATATATTATTTTAAACTTTACATGATAAACAGTCTCAAAATGCCTTTTCCATATCTTCAAAAAAAGTTTTAGTATGATGCAAAGTTTAATTTTTATATTATTAAAATAGATACCTAAAGCTAGATGAAGTTTAATTTATTAAGTGCATGCAAAAAGCCATTAAAATTGAGTCATAAATGTTATGGTGACGACAAATAGTTGCTTTAACACAACTGACACGTTATAGCGCGTTTTTAGCACTTTTTATCGTTAAAGAGTATATCAAGTGATTATCATTGCGCAGATTTCGCGCCATCTAAATGATTTTTTTTGTTAACATTTTTACATATTATTAATATGATTGTATGGAGCTAGATATAACTTATTTTTCAACTTTAGAAGTTAAGTGGTATCAAAGTTATTGTACTTTTTGTGCTGGAACAACAGACAACTTTTTTACAGAAAAGTCATCTGTTTTTCCATTTTGCCTCTATAACGAAATAAAATAAGAAAACATTGAATATATAGCGTAAAAATTAATACAAAAGATATGCAAAGTAATAAAAGCATAATTCTTGAACTTCTAATGCCATGCTATATATTTTGATCTCGGGATGTTAGGATTACATTTACGAATTCCATGATTTCAGGATTATTTCCAGGATTTTTAAATACATGTAATCGAAAGATTTTAACATATTATTTTAGTAAAGTTTTAATAATATCAATAATAAATTCAAAATATGTCGGGAAAAAACTATTTACAAAATGAAAAAGAATTTCTTTGGTTTTTAAATATTATACAAATATTATTAATGCATCATAAAAAATTTGTTGTTTTTATAGATTTAATATTCATATTAAATTCATAGATTTAATATTCATTCATACTTATTTTTATTATTTTTCCAAAGTTTTATTACCCAAATGATTTTTTATTTTTGTTGAAAAAGCCCACAGTGATTCAAAAAACACTTAGAATTTGGCGACAGTACAGTTTTTTGAACAGCGCGGTTTCAAAAGTTTGGTGATTTAATATGAGCAACTATTTTTACTCAGTAATTGGTCAGCTTTACGTTAATATAAACTTCAGAATTTTTGATCAAATTTTTAATCCTGTAAATTTAAGCAGTTTACTCAGTATTTGTTCAGCTTTAAATTACGTGAATGAAAACTTAAACAAATTTGCTCAAGTTTTTAATCACGTAAAGCTGATTAATTACTAAGTATAAGCAATTGCTCAATTTTATTCACTCGGCCTAATAATTTTATTAGCAAACAATTTTCTCAAGTTTTTTATGATTCTAATGGTACAAAAAAAAGTACTGAAGTAATAGATTTAAACGTTAATATACGTTTGATAGTGATCAAAAACTCTTTTTTATCATTAAACTTTTATCATTATAAAGACTTTATCTTCTCCTTAGATACAAAACACAACATACAAAGATAATAGATAATTTTATTTTAATTTATAAAAAAAAAAAATTTAGCTGCGCCAACTTGCTTCATTTGGAAATAATGTCGTCTTAAATTGCTCATTTTATAGCAAAAATTAGCGAAGTAAAAGCTAATACGACGTAATCAACTCCATTTCATTTGTTTTAACAGTTTTTCCTGACACTTTTAAACAAAACCTTTTAATTTGAGTTTTTTTTTACTAACATATAGCTTATGCAGTTATCTATCTTGTAGGATATATATATATATATATATATATATATATATATATTTATATATATATATATATATATATATATATATATATATATATATATATATATATATATATATATATATATATATATATACATATATATATATATATATATATATATATATATATATATATATATATATATATATATATATATATATATATATATATATATATATATATATATATATATATATATATATATATGCATACAAAAGCAATATAAAATTTATTTTACTTTAGTATAAAACAAACATAAAGTTTACTAAACATCAGCTTTATTTATTTATTAAAGGCTTCAAGGTTTTGCTTCAAAGTTTCCTTTTTACTTACATTTTCGAAATTAATCACATAGACTTGCGTTCTTATAAAAAATATTAAAGTATACTAAAAATAATGGAAAATTTTATTTAAACATTAAAAAATTAAAAAAATAAACTTTCTAATCATAATTGACTTCGTGATTGTTTTTAAATTAAAAAGCAAGTTGGTTTTAATAAGATTTAGTCATTCTAGAAAAATTGGAAGAACATTCCGTTGAAATAAACTTTAATAACATAACAAATCCAAATGAAAAGAAAACACCTGCAAGAAAATGTCTTAATTGGGAACAATCAGGCAACCGAGCGAAAAGAAGAAAAAGTGAATAAATGGGAACAAATTATACTTATGATAAGTTGATCTTCCCTGAAATAGTGAGTTCAAGAGAAACCAATCCTATAGTCTGTGTTTTACTTTAAACCAACTGGTTTCTTCTACCAGTTAACCCAATAAAGTATCTAATATGAATAAAATGAAAAGTCTATTATAAAATATTTTCCAAAAGAAGGTTTGGCCTTGATGGTTTGTCAGCTGGTTTGTCTCCAAGACCTTATCAAAAAATAAGGAATACAGCTATGGAAAGAAATGCAAGTTTGTGTCCTTTGCACAATAATATTTTTTCAGCAAAAAAAGAATGATATCCTTACGGCATTATATTTGGTGAAAGAAATTCTGAAATTAA